TGTGGGAGTGGTGGGGGTGGCCTCCTGGCTGAAACACTTGCTTTCTGCTCTGTCTGATCTCAGGGGCTGGGGCAGACCAGATGAGGGTGAGGGGGAAGGTCAGGGGGGATGCTCCTGCTTGGCAGCCGATGGCATCTGACGGGGTCCCTGTTGGTGATGACGCTGCAAGTCCAGTGTGTCCCCAAGTGGGCAGAGCCTGGAAGGGGCAGGCCCTGGCCTCCTTCCAGCGGCCACAGTGAGGGTGCCGGTTCCAGTCCTGGCTCTCATTAGCTAGGCTGCCTTGGGCATGTTATTAAAGCACCCCTGCCCTCATCTGTGAGGTGGGACGCTGTGTGTGCAGATGGAGGGCGAGGACAGGACCTGTACACAGACCGGCTGAATAAATGCATGCTAGCCGCCACGGTGACAGGGCCCAGGGTTCCCAGTGGCACCACCCTGCTGCAGTCTGCCTTCCCACCCCCACCCCAAGCAGGAGACAGACCCAGAGGATCCGAATGGGCTGAGAGGACTCCGCCAATCAGAAGGCCCCCACCACCCTCCCTGGAGCTCAAGGCAAAATTCCTCTTGTTATTAAACACCAAAGCAAACAGATCTCCACCCCCACACTCCAGAAACACCTTTATTGCACTAAAAACAGCATTTATAAACAAACACACTTGGGAGAGGGTGTCTTAAGGATTTACCCACAGTCAACTTGTAACACAAAGATATCAAATAGTGCAGGGGCATATAAAATGGGCCCTCCCCAGAGGGAAAGCAGGGGTCGGGGTCAGAGGGAAGGAAGAGGGTGCAAGCTCCAAGCATCTGACTCAGTGCAGGGTCCTCTGTCCACCTGCTCCAGCCCACAAGCCTGGCCCTGGGGGGGGTCTCCAGGTTCTAGAGTAAAGGGGAGCCCCCCTCTGACACCAGGAGCAGGGAGCATGAAGGAACAGGCCTAGGACAGAGGTGGGGAGGGGAGAGGGGGCACAGCAAGGGACCTCAGCTCCAAGGGCCCCAAATTCTCAGTCCCAAAGTGCAAACGGGAACAAGTGCTTTCCCCGGCTACGGGGGAAATCTCCTTCATCCCTCCCCCAGTGGGATTTGGAAACCTAGTCAGGAGGGACAATGTTTGGATGGGGAGGGGTGCCCCGGGATCCCCAGGGACTGCCCCCATCCAACCATGCTCACCAGGCAGCCCGGCCTGGCCCCTGCTTCAAACTGTACCGTTTCTGTTGTGTTAAGCTGGGAAACATCCACGGACATCATTCAAGGACCCACATATGGACACAACTTTAAACCCATGCAGCATGAAGGTGCACAACCAGGGTCCTCCCTGCCCGCCAGCTTCCGCCCACACTAACCAAAAGCTATTTACTGTGTGGAGTGAAAACCCAGCCATCAGTCCCTGACTATCACTTCCTGGCATGCTGCGGCCAAGGGTGCTGCGCAGGGGGGTGGCAGCCCCCGGCCTTGGAGGGACGGGGCGGAGTGGGGGCTGGGGGCCGCGCTCTGGGCCTGTTCTGAGCAACCCCTCCAGGGGCGGAAGGCTCCTGAGCGTGAGGTGGGCTGGCCCAGCAGGGAAGGTGCTGGAGGAAAATAGCAGACAGGAGAGCTATACGGCTCCCAGGGGCAGGAGGGGAGCCCGAGCCTCCGCTGTCCTCTCCGGGGCCTTCCTCCACTTCCAGCCCCACAGCAACGCTGCCTCCCTTCTCTGCCTGTCTTCTCCCAGTGGGTGGCACCTGCCTCGCTGACCTGCTCTGTTCTGGAGCCTAACCCAGGTGGGGTGTCTCCTACAGCCTCGTGGGCGCTGTTGGTAGATCCCAGACCTGGTACTGCTGTCTGGTGGGGGCAGAGGGGGCGGGGGGTGTCTGGTGGGCCGGGGCAGGAAGACTCTTATGCAACCAAGAGAAATATTGGGCTCAGCTCAGAACTGGCCACCTCTAGGTCTGTGATCCACTTCTGCGGTCTCCAGGCCCTCTGGGCCCCTGCAGGGTCACTGGGGAACTGGGAAGCCTACGGTAAAGCGTCTCACAGGTTCCTGGCCACCCCCGCCCCCAGAGAACCCCTTTCCAGAACTCTGAAAGGGGTGAGGCAGCATGGAACTTGGGGCACGGGGTAGGGGGGGCGCTCAGCCCTGCAAAGTGTCCCCTTCTCCTCCCTGGCTGCCCCCTCTCTTCCTCCTCTGAAAAAATTAACCCATGAAAGATAGTGTTCCGGTCACCGTTGGCAACCCAGTAACCCCCAGCATGGACGGCAGCCCAGCCTGAGTTTAAACAGCCCTCCAGCCCCGCTCCTAGCTGCTGGCCTCCTGCCCACAGGGATCTGAGTGGGAGGGGAGGGGGTCTTCCCTCTGGCCCTTGGGAGCGAGGGAGGCAGGGAGGGGCCTTCACAAGAAAGGGAGCAGGGAGGTCAGCGGAAGCTCTTCCTCCCCGAGCAGCGTGTCCCGCTTGAGGCTGCTGCCCTTGTTGACCACCTTGACCCTGAGGGCCAGCTTCCGGACACTGGCCGGCCCCAGGCCATCGAAAAAGAAGTCCTCGTTGAAGACGGGGTGGCGGCTGTTCTTGATGATGGTGCTCCGCTGCTTCTGTAGCTTCCCGGGCACCAGGCACAGCCCCACACAGCAGCTGATGCTGCGGGCGTCACACAGGCCGTCATAGAGACCCTCGGCTGCCAGCAGGCGTACCCGCAGGCGGGCCTGGGCCACCTCGTACTCCGCCAGCAGCCGCACGCTGCCCCGCGGGCCCACGCGGACCGCGTGCTCTGCCCGGGGCGCCTGGCCAGTCTCAGGGCCCGGCTCCGGGGTGGCCCTGCGGGTCAGGCGGCGCCGCGCCCCGGGGCTGGTGTCTGGCGCGCTGTCCTCAGCGGACAGGGAGCCGTGGCGGCCCGCCGAGTGCTTGAGCTGGCTCACTTTGGCCTGGCTGTCCTGCGCGAACCCTTTCAGCAGCGACACGGACCGCGAGAGCAGAGGGGACCCGAACGGGGAGGACTCCGCTGAGGACCCTGTGTCACTCTCCCCACCGCTGAAGTAGCGGCTGGGGCTCATGAGGGCCCCACCAGCCTCCCTGGGCACCCCATCGCCCCCATTGGCCTTGGTGCCCCCCCGACGGCGACCGGCACCTGGGGATCCCACCTGCGCCAGGGCTCCATGCTCGCTGTGGAACAGGGACTCCTTACGCCGCGTGTGGGGGCTCTCTGCCAGCGTGGCAAAGCCATAGGACGTCTGAGCCTTGGGCACGGAGGGCAGGGACATGGCGCCCTGGGCTTGGGGGTCAGCGTTGGTGGCAGCCTCCTCTACCAGCCAGTCCTCCGCACTCTCGATCTGGATCACGTGCCGGGTGGCTGCCTTCAGCAGGCTCTTGCTCTCAGCTGCCAGCTTGGCAGGCAGCCGCGGGCTCCGGGGGGCTCGGCGGGGCGTCCCTGATGCCAGGTTTTGCTCCGTCGAGGCGGGGCCCAGCTCAGCCTGCCCCTCAGGATCTGCGGGGCCAGCGGGCAGTTTGGGGGGTATGAAGAAGTCAGGGATCTTGTCAGGTGTGAGCACATTGCTGTGCAGGGGCCCCTTGGAAGCCTTGTCCCCGGCCTCGCTCCCAGGAGTGACGTTTTCCCCAGACCCCCGAAGACGCTCCAAGAACCACAGGTTGGTTTTCTTCATGGGGGCAGGCAGGACGGAGGTCAGGAGGAGCTCTGGAGTCTGGGAAGAGAAGCAGGGGTCAGGAGCTGCGGGCTCCCAAGCACCGGGGGACTGGAAGAGGGGGCTCCTGGCCCCCATGGAGGGGGCCACAAGGACAAGGCCCTGGCCAGCAGGGAGCTAGCAGGGCGTGAGCAGGGTCGCTCAGGGCGTGTCGCGCCTCCCCTCCCCTCCCAAGAGAGATCGGGCTTAACTTCCCAGACCCGAGAGCCGAAGCGAGGGAGGTGGGGGGCGGCGCTCCGACTCTTGGGAAGCTCCCAGGGGAGAGCGGCCCCTCTCCCGCCCCCACCCCGTTTTAAGGATCTCAAAGCGCTTTCTAAAGGGTCTGCGCTCAATCCAAAGGGAAGATACCCACGGTGTGTGTGCGGACCCCCAGGATGTCCCAGCCCCGCGCCACCCCCCCCCCAAGCTCCCACCCACCTGTGGCTTCGCCCAGCGCTGAGGGCCCAGGCACCGGGGTGGGGGCAGGGAGAGGAGGTGAGTCGGGGGCCTGACAGCGCAGCGAGCTGACCCCTCCCGCCAGTTCTCCGCCCCCCACCCCCGCCAGACTCAGCTTGGGGTGGGGGCGGGGGTCTCAGCAGACCCTGCGGACCGTGGCGGGGTCCCCGCACTCACCTGCCCCGGGGTGGGGGCCCGAGGCTGGAGGCCGTCCCGCGGGCACGCCGGGGTCTTGGCGCGAAGGTCCGGGGCCCGCGCGGGGGACGCGGCCAGAGCTCCAGCACGGGCGGCGGCGGCAGCGCAGCAGGGACTCATTCACCGGCGGCGGCGGGAAACCGCCCAGCCCGGACGCCGCGCCGCCGTATTCCTCCTAGTACGGCCGCACAAGCGGCCCCCGCCCCCGCCCCCGCCTCGCCCCGCCCCCAGGCCTCAGGGGGCTGCCCCTCGTCCGGACCCCGGGGGCTGGTGGGGGCAGATGGGTGGGCAGCAGGTGGTGGCGCCCTGTGGATGGCCACCCCTAGCGCTTGAGCCTACGGACCCGCGAAGTCGGGGACCCCCGGGAGCCCCTGGCCCCTGCCTCAGGCCACCTGGGCGGGGCCGAGACCCACACTCGCTGTAGGCAGGTTCTCTGGAGAGCCGCTTCCCTGACTCCGGGTGATGAATCAAACAAAGGCAACCAGGGGCGCAACTAAATTTATCACTGAGCGCCTTGTCCGGGCCAGGCCCCTAAGGACTCAGAGCAACCCGGCGGTGGCCCTCCCCCGTCAGTGCAGGACGAAGTGAGGGTTTCCTTCCGGACATAAGGACCCAGCAGCTAAGCCGCGCTCCTCCCCGGGAGACGGTAAACGGGTGTCCACTCTGCAGCCTCCCAAGGAGCGGCCTGCATTTCGAGAAGAGATGTTTATTGAGCAGCTGGTGGACGCCGCGTCCAGCCTTCTGATGATTCCCAGTGCCAGGGACGCCAGTGGACAGGTACACAGATACACTGTAAGTGTCGGTTTGTAGCTCCCGTGACAAACGTGTAGCAGGAAAACGCGATCCGAGGGGAGAAGGGCGAGCACCCCCACCATGCTGTTCACCGTTCAGAGACTGATGACGGGCAGGACCAGGCCGCAGCCCCAGGCCTGGCAGCTCCTGAAACCACAGGGTCCCCTGGATGCCGCCTGCTCTTGCCTTGAACGCTGCCTGCCTCAACTTCTGCTTCCTCACCCCTTGCCCTCCCTCTCAGCCTCCATGTCCCCTTCTGGACCCTAAGGCCAACCAGTCCTGGGTCCAGTCTTGGGCTGTGAGAAGCCAGCAAGTTAGTGGATTGCCAGGACTAACCCAAAGCCTGGACTTTATTAAATTATGATTGTCCAGGAGCCTCCTGTGTTCCTCATTGCAGCCCCAGCTAGGATGGGGGCTGGTCTGCAGTGACCACTGGGTCATCAGCAGAAGGGGTGCAGAGGGGCAGGTGGGAGCGGGACAGAACTCCCTTGGAGTGAGGTGGGGTTTGGAGTTCCTTGTCCAGATGCGAAAAGCAAGGCTCTGAGAGGTCCATGACTCCCCCAAAAGGTCTGTCTCAGCTTTGCTCTCTTAGCAAACACTGAGCCCCTTTTTGTGCTGGGCAGAACACTGACATGGCCACAAAGTCCAACAGGGGAGGCAGATGCCAATGAATGCTTCAGTTCACCTCTAACTCCAAGAAGCCTGCCCTGCCAGCCAGCCTGGGCTGGCCGGTCATCACAGCCTAACCGTACCCACTGAACCCCAACTTTAGCTATGGTGAAGAATGCCCCAGAGCAAGTATTTGGTTGATGTCCACTGCCCCCGTCGGGCCTGGAGCTGCTGGGAGGAAGGCAGGAAGGCAGCCTTATCCCTGCTGTGACCCCAAGACACTGGGGGGACACTTTAATAAATACCTGCCAGACAAATGGATGAACTAGGACCACAGTAAAAAGCATGAGTCCTAGAATAGCGCTCAATCCTGCAGCGGGCGGGAGGGGGGAACTCGGAGGCCACAAGCCACCTTCCTCCATCGCATGGATAGGGAGAGTGGTGCTCACAAAGGGGAAGTGACTGAGTCAGGTCTCTGGGGGTTTTCTGATGATAAGCCGGCCTGGGTGCTGGGGGCTTCACTGCCCACTCCCCCTTACCCAGTTGGGGCAGGGTCTCCTCCCAGTTGGGTGGAGGGAGGAGGTCTTGAGCTTGTTCTGTGCCGATTCCCGTGCTGAGCAACTGGGGACTCTCATCTGGAGGTGCTCTGTTGGGGCTGGAAGCCTGACACCGATGCTTCCTGTGGTGTGATTGCTGGCAGGTGCCCAGACCTCTGCCTCTGTCCCCGGGGCAATTTGCAGGCATAAAGATTGTCCCTGTACCACGGCCTCAGGCGAGGATGAACCGGTGAGGACACGCAGAGGGCTGACAACAGGGCCTAGAACACTGTGATGGGAGTGCTGGTCATCATTTCTTGGACGCTGCTACTGGTGAGAAAGGGGGCTGGCCCGGCCTCGAAAGGGACGCCAGAACCTGATGCCCACCAAAGCCAGCTCAGCTGAAGCCCCTCCCTGTGGCCCCCATCCCATCACCTTCGGGGGCTGGGGAAACCAAGGCCCAGAGAGACAAGGAACCTGGGGATAGGTCCCAAACATCTGCCTTCAGAGGGGCGGGGTCCAGGAGGCGGGCCCTTCCAGCTGGTTAGTTAGCCTTGTGGTCCCTAAACAGGAACCTCTTCCAGTCAACAAAACCTACTTCCTCTGCAGAGCCCTGAGGCTGATTGGTGTGGTGTGGTAGATCCCCAGGACTCCCCCCACACCCCCGGCTGCAGCCTTCCTGAGATCAGAGATGTGGAGGCTGGCAAAGGGGCCCAGGTGGTATTAACCAGCCCCTCCCACCCTGAGTCACACCACCTCATGCTGCAAGGCCTTGGTCCTCAACTCCCACCCCCCAGGGACCTAAGCTTGTGGGAGAGAGGAGGGACAGGGGGCTTGCCAGGAGCCAGACTGCCCCCTGCAGCCACCCGCAGACAGGTCCTTGAGGAAGCTCAAAGAAAAAAGCTCCAGTCCTGAGAAGCCTCCTTATACCCATGCAGTTCTGGCCAACAGCTTCTCCTCTGAGCTCTGTCTCCTCCCCTGGAAGAGCTACGGGAAGGCCTGTCCAAAGCTCCCAGGAGAGACCTCGGCCCAACAAGGCACAGGTTAACCCACTGTGGAGGAGGGCCACTATCCCCAGTTTACAGACAGGGAAACTGAGGCACAGGGGAGTAGCCCAATTCAGGGAAGGGAAGCAAGCAGTCCAGGCTGCATGGTGCCTGCCTCCCACCCCAAGGCTCCCTGAGGACAAGGCCAGCCCAAGGAGCATTTGCCGACCAAATAATTGAGGGTAGATGGGGGCAGGAGAAAAGTGTGGGGGACCAGCGGCAGCCAGGCTCGCGGCCCCCCTCACTGCATGGGCACCCCAGACCTGGCGTTCCCGGCTCAGAGAGCAGGACAGGGGAGGTGATGGGGTGGGAATCCCAGCTCTGCCACCTCACCCTCTGAGCCTCTGCTCCCCCTTCTGTAAAGTGGGGAGAATCTGAGCACCCACAGCTGGTGCTGTTCTTAGCACATGCTTCAGCAGGTGTCCTAGATACATAGAGGCTTTGAAGGAGGACACAGGGGAACGAATGAATGAACGAAGTGCATTAGGACCCCTCTCTAGCCTACAAGTCTCTGAAATCGGATACTTTTGGAGACTCCCCTAGTCCAAACCTAGTGAATTCTCCCAACTGCCCCCCATTCCTCTCCTGTCCCCAACAGTGTACTTCCCACTTGGGAGTCCTATCATCTCTGTGCTTCAAAGCTCCCCAGCAGCTCTCCCTGGCTCCAAGCTTCCCCCCAGCCATGTCCTCCACTCCACCACCCCTCTGATCTCACCACCAGCCACACAGGTCATCCTTCTGGTCTCTGAATGCGCTGCGAGCCACACACCACAGGGCCTTTGCACATGCTATCACTCCTGCCTAGCACTCTGTCTTCTTCCCCTGGGGCTCTCATCCTCCAGACCATACCCCCTGTGTCATTCCCACCCTCCTGGATTTCCTGGGCTAAGTTCACATTGTCATTACACACTTAGTGGTGATTTGCTGCTTGATGTCACTCGACTATCGACTCCATGAGGACAGATCAGTCTTGGTTACTGCTGCATCCTCGTTACCCACCAGAGGTCCTGGCAGATAAGGGGAGCCCAACGCAGGCATACTAAAGGATACCAGGATCGGGGGACAGGTGGATGGACCAATGAATGGAAGGAATAATGGATGGATGGGTGAGTAGATGATGGGTGGATGGACGGATGGACAGACTGGCCCCTCTAAAGTAAGAAACAAGGCATCAGAGTCCCCTCCGGCTCTGCCGTTTGATAGCTTCTCCCTGCCCCCCTCCCAGTTACAGACAGAGTGGCCGTTGCTCCCCATACCCTCACCAGGCTCCCCCAGAGCATGGGGGTGGGGCCTGCTGATGAGCCAGACCCTAGGCACAGGTGTGGCCCTGGCAGGGTGTGGTGAGGGTCAGGAAGGGCTCTTCAGGATAGTCAGAGGAGGGGTCCCAGGGAGAGATGAGGTCTCTGGGAGGGAAGGTCTGGAGAGGCATCGGGGATAAGCAGGAGCTCCTAGGGGGTCAGGAGTGGGGACACCTGAGAATGTCAGGCCACATTCAGGGCTAAGTTAGGAGCAGTCAAGAGGAGAAATGAAGGGCGCCTGGGTGGCTCAGTTGGTTGGGCGACTGCCTTCGGCTCAGGTCATGATCCTGGAGTCCCGGGATCGAGTCCCGCATCGGGCTCCCTGCTCGGCGGGGAGTCTGCTTCTCCCTCTCCCACTCCCCGTTTGTGTTCCCTCTCTCGCTGTGTCTTTCTCTGTCAAATAAATAAATAAAATCTTTAAAAAAAAAAAAAAAAAAAAAGAGGAGAAATGAAGAACAGTTTGCCAGATATTCGGGGCATCCTGAAAGACACGGGTCTACAGTTTATAGGAGATAAGCTACGGTGTTTCCCAGGAGAGGACAGGGCTGTGTCTCATAGAGGAGTGGGGTGCTCTATCTGGGGGTGGAAATAGAAGTGTGAGGGTGGTGCGGGGGGTTCTGGGACAGTGCTCCCCCACAGGGACACATCTGCAGGCCTGCACCCTCCTCTCCATCCCCCACACCCTCCAGCTGCAGGAGGACACACGTGTGCCTTGGCTTTCCACCTGGGAGACTGGCCTTGGCCTCCCAACCCAAGGGCCCCTCAGTGTCAGGTAGGCTGACTTCCTCACCATCATCCCCACGTGTAATTACAAACAGACCCCAAATGTCCAGTACAGGTGGACAGCTGGGAGGGCAGGGCCCTCATGACCACCCCCCACGAGGGCGGGTTGTCCGGCTGCTGCCTGGATGCCCCCCACTGTCCCAGCTGAGCCCTGAGGTGCCCCCCACACTTCAACATTCACAGGTGTCCTGGCCTGAGGACCCCAAACACCTCAATTCTTCCCCATAAAAGACAACTGTGCACTGATTTTTCAGGTGGAGAAACTGAGCTGTCAAGGACAGGAATCCATCTTTCCAGGGAGGTGAGCTGAAGTCCCTCTGGGGAGAGAGATGGTGCCTCCTGAACCCGGCGGCGACCCTGGCCAGGGCTCGGAGAGAGAGGACTGGGTTTCTGTAAGATATTTTCTTTAAAGGTGAGAAAAGTTCTGTCTTTGGTATGGACACCCTCACCCCAGGCAGAGGGTGGAGGCAGGCAGGGGTCGGTGGGATTAAAGGGTCTTGGGCCCCCATCTCTTGGCCTCGCTGGCCCAGCCCAGGGCCGGCTGGAGAAGGAAGATCTAGAGGCTGGAGGAAGGAGAGACAGCGGCAGCTCCAGCCTGACCAGGGTCCAGAGAGAAGCTGAGGAGCCCATAAGGCCACGACAGGGAGCATCTGCAGCGCAGGACAGGAGCGGGAGCTGAGAACCATCACCTGCGGAAGAAAGAGAAGGCGAGGTCAAGGGTCAGCTGTGACAGCAACCAGAGACCTGGGCTCAAGTGGCCCCCCGAACCTCAGTTACGGGGCCCAGTGAGGGTCCTCAGGCTGAGGGGCCAGGGAGAGGTCTCAGCTCCCCCATGTTCTTGCAGTGTGACCTAGGGTAGGGCCTTCACTTCTCTGTGCCCTTCCTTCTGCGAAAATGCTCAGAACCACCTGGGACTTGGAGGCTTTGGGAGGTGCCGAGCACCATGCCTGGACTTGGCCACTGGTGCCATTGGCATTGTTTCTCAGGTCACACACCCCTCTGGGGACGGAAGGGAAGCACGTCTTAGCCTAACACGTGCGAACACACAGCCCCAAAGGCACTGCAGATCATGTCAGTGTTCCACGTGCCCACTCTCAGCCCCTAAAGCCTGTCCCCAGACTGGAAATCCCTTCTGTGCCCGCAGCCTCAGGCTTGGCTGGGGACCGGGAGGCAGGAAGGGGCCGTGGTCAGGGGGACCGGAGAGCAGCCCAACCTGGCTGGAAACGCCTCTCTGCTGAGCCCTGGGGGGGGATATCCCACAACCCTCTTCCCTTGCAGCCCCTCCCTCCCCAGCTGAACCCCCAGCTCCTGGCTTCCCAAATCCCGGTCCTATCTCTCCCTCCTCCCCAAGTCAGTGCATGCAGCCCAGCTCAGCCACACCTTCTCCTGCCTAAACCACCCCCCACTGCCCCCAGAAGCCCCAGTCTCTCACCACAAAGGTCCTAGAATCACCCAGACCTGCCTGTCCCTCCCCAACGCAAAACCCTCCCATGGCCCCCCAGCACCAAAAGCAAAAGGCCAAGGGTTTACCTTTCCATCTCCCCCACCTCTCCTCGAATGCCCACCAGACAAACCCAGGCCACCCTAGGCCTTCCTCTGGTGTAGAGCCACCTCCTCCCAGAGATGTTTTATCACCAATTAAACCCAGAGTTACCATGACAACTCAGCAATTCCACTCCTAGGTATAGACCCAGGAGCCATGAAAATACATCCACACAAAAACTTGGACATGCATGTTCTGAGTGGCATTATTAGTAACAGCCAAAAAGTAGAAACACCCAAATGTCCATCGACAGTGAATAGGTAAACATGTGTCCATCCATGCACCGGAGCGTCACTGGGCCACAAACAGGACCAAGGAGCCCACACGCTGCCCTGGGGACAGACCCTGAACCCACGACGCCCAGGGAGGGAACCAGACACGGAAGGCCACATGGGGTGTGAGTCCACGTGGGTGACATGTCCGGAACAGGCTCATCCACGGACGGGAAGGGGGCTCGTGGGGGCCGGGGGCTGGGGCGGGGTGACGAGGAGTGACGACTAATGGAGAATGGAGATGGGGAGGGGAGGGGGTGATGGGGGCGGGGTGCCTTTGGGGCGATGGAATGTTGTGGAATTAGGTAGAGAATGATTGCACATCTCTAAACACACTAAAAACCACTGAGTTGCACCTTTTAAATGGGTGAATTGTGTGGTTTGTGAATTCTTTCTTAATTTTTAAAATGAGAAAAAAGCTGGGTGAATGGGTAAATGCTGGGAGCCCATGGGGGCGGACTACACACCTGGCTCAGGGCTCACGTTTGACCACACCACGCAGATGCAGCTCGCTTTCGGCAGCCACGATGGGCTGCCCGTTCTGCAGGTGGTAGTCGATCAGATGGCTGATGCTCTCAAAGAGCACATCCTTGGTCCGCACCTGCAGGGCCAGAGGCCTGTGTGAGCACCACCGGGAGCTTGCTGGAGAGTCCTGCTGAATGGGAATCTGCATTCTCAAGAGCCCTCTGTAGGCCTGATGCACCCTCAAGTCTGAGAACTCTGGCTCAGAAGCTTCCATGGAATCAGACTCAGAATTCCGGAGTTCGTAAGGACATAGGCTCCAAAGCCACAGGATTCTGGGGCCACCCCTCCTACAGCAGGTGGAACGGTGGCCCCCAAAAAGATGTGTCTGTGTCACAACCTCTGGAACACGTGGATGGGACCTTATCTGGAAAAAGTGTCTTTGCAGATGTGATTAAGTGAAGGGTCTTGAGCTCATTCTGGTGGCCCCAAAGCCAATGACTGGTGTCCTTATAAGAGCAGAAAAGTTGGACACAGAGAGCAGGCAAGGCAGGGACCAGAGGGATGTGTCAAATAGCCAGGGACACCAAGGGCTGTGGCACCTACAGGACCTGGGGGAGCCTGGACAGGATCTTCCCTCGGAGCCTCAGCAGGAGCCCACCCCATGACACCTGCATCTCAGACCTGCAGCCTCTGGAGCCAGGGAAGAAGACTCTTCCCTTGTTTAAACCAGTCCGTTGATGGCCATTTGGTAGGGCAGCCCCAGGAAATCTTGGGAACACCTAATGGAAAGCAATCTGCTGCCTCTTAGAACGAGAAAATCTGAGCATCACCACATACACCACGGATGGTAACCCTCTGGCCCCACTGTCAGGTATTTCATGGGCAAAGCAGGCTCACCGGACACAAGCAGGCTTAGAAGGCACATTCCTGGGCCCTATGGCATAACTGTCTATTTCTTTGGAACTGGGGTTGGGACACGGGAGTCTGCCCTTTAACCAAGTATTTGAGGAAGTTCTGAAGTTTCTGGAGCTTTAGGAGTTGCTGACCCTATCAGGTAGGTCCACTTAGCAGAGAGGGAATGGGGCCCACGAGGCCAGAGGCTGCAGCGGTGAGCCAGACACAAGGTAAACTGAGAACAGGCCCCCGGAGCCTCGACCCCACTAGGGAGTGTGACCCATACCGACAGACAGAGAGGGGATGGAGCTCCCCGGGGTGGTTCTGAGGCTTGGGCTGGATGCAGTCAAAGCACCTGGTAAGACTCTAACACCCCTAAGCTCCTTCCCCTGGGAAATAACCTGTAAACCCCAAGGCCCTTGGACGCTGCAAAATGCTTCATGAACCCCAGAGCTCCTTGTAAATTTAAAAATGCTCTGTAAGGGCGCCTGGGTGGCTCAGATGGTTAAGCGTCTGCCTTCGGCTCAGGTCATGATCCCAGGGTCCTGGGATCGAGTCCCACATCGGGCTCCCGGCTCAGCGGGGAGCCTGCTTCTCCCTCTGACCCTCTCCCCTCTCATGCTGTTTCTCTCTCGCTCGTTCTCTAAAAAATAAATAAAATCTTTTTTAAAAAAAATGCTCTGCAAACCCCAAAATGCTTTAGGAACTGTAGAATACCAAAGTTCAAACGGACTCAAAGCAATGTTAAGATTCATCACTATTTCATGCTCCACAAAGAGAGGGGAAAACCTCCCAGCAAAATAATCATGGCAGCTCAAAGACCGAGTTAAAAAACATGCAGGCTTCAAAGGCGTCAAAGTGAGAGAAAAGTGTGCATCCAGTAACTTGTAGACCCTAGAACTCCTTGTAAATTGAACCATGCTTTGTGAGCCTTGAAATACACTAGAAAAGAAAAACGTCGTATTTATCACTCAAAGACATCATTATTTGTAAGATACACAATGCTGATGGAACGTGGGAGAAAAGGGCATCAAATATAGTGCTTTGTAAACCCGGAAAGGCCTCAAAACCCCCAAAATGCTGTATGGACTTCGGAACTTCTTTACAGATCCTAAAATTCTTGTTAAAGTGGAAAATACTTTGTAATTCTAAATTACCTCGTCAACGGGAACAGAATCTGTAAATGTAAAGGGCTTTGTAATCCGGAAAATACTTGATTAAACCTAAAGGCTGCTGCGGCGGGGGCCGGGGACCGTGTCCGCCTGCGGACCCTCCCCTGCCCGCCTCCGCCCCGCCCCACTGCGGCCCCGCCTCCAGCCTGCGGACCCTCCCCACTCAGCCCCCGCCCTACTCCGGCCCCGCCTCCAGCAGGTGGACCCTCCCCACTCCGCCCCGCCTCCAGCCCGCGGACCCTCCCCACTCAGCCCCCGCCCTACTCCGGCCCCGCCTCCAGCCTGCGGACCCTCCCCACTCAGCCCCCGCCCTACTCCGGCCCCGCCTCCAGCAGGTGGACCCTCCCCACTCCTCCCCGCCTCCAGCCCGCGGACCCTCCCCACTCAGCCCCCGCCCCACTGCGGCCCCGCCTCCAGCCTGCGGACCCTCCCCACTCAGCCCCCGCCCTACTCCGGCCCCGCCTCCAGCAGGTGGACCCTCCCCACTCCGCCCCGCCTCCAGCCCGCGGACCCTCCCCACTCAACCCCCGCCCTACTCCGCCCCCGCCTCCAGCCTGCGGACCCTCCCCACTCAGCCCCCGCCCTACTCCGGCCCCGCCTCCAGCAGGTGGACCCTCCCCACTCCGCCCCCGCCTCCAGCCCGCGGACCCGCCCCCGCCCCGCCCAACCCCGGCCCCGCCTCCAGCCCCTGTGCCCCACCTTACCACGCCCTCGGGGTCCACGAGCAGCAGGTGCTTGGGCTGCCCCGCGTGCATGCCCGTGAGGACGTACTGCCCAGGGTTGGTGACGCTGTCGCGCACCAGGAAGTCCCCGTCGGCTCGAAGCAGCTTCTCCGCCGCCCTTCGGCTCATCTGGCCGTGGTACCAGGGCTCCTGCCGCAGCTGCTCCTCCGTGGGGGCTATGGGGGCCCGGCGGGTCGGGGGGCTGGGCCACTGGTCCTCCAAGGGAAGGGGCGCTGCCGCCGTGCCCGTCCCCACAGAGCACTCGTGCAGCTTGAGAGCATCCTCGAAGGGTCCTGCAGGCGAGGACGAAGTGCAGGAGGCAGGGGCGGACAGCTGCCCCCTGCTGGAAAGGGAGGGGTCTGGGCCGGGAAGGGAGAGCTCCAGGCGGTCGCCCCACCCCGGGGAGCTGAGCGCCTAGGGTGCATCAGACCTTGCACCGAGCCCACCGTACGTCGCTGGCTGCGTGCTGAGTGTGCACTGTGTGTGTGCGGAGTGGGTGTGTTCATGTGTTCTGTGTGCTGCGCGCTGCCTTCACCGTCTGTTGGGTTCTAGGAGCTAGGTGGGGTATTCTCTTGGATTTTTATGTATATGCCCATAACGGATATGCAAATAAAGTGCTTCTTTCTCCCCAATGTGTACACATCCTTCTTTTCCTCGTCTTGTCACTTTGGCTTCCTTCCCAATGCATATGCCTCCTGGCTCATTGACTGTCCGATCACACCGGCCAGCCCCTCATACAGCGCCGCATCTCGATTGCCCGCATGCCTTTCTCCTGCACACTCTCCTAGACAAGCTCCTAGCGGTCTGCAGAGCACCAGTGCGACAATGGACAGGCTGCTCGCCCTCTCTGAGCCTGTGCCCTCCTTGCAAAATTGGACGTGGGGCAGCACAGATCAGAACCCCAGCCCTGACCCCAACCCTGCACAGCTAGGTTCTGTGCCCCCACGCGCCTTCCCCTTTCTGTTCCTCGGGAATCCCTCCTGCCTGACTCCGTCAGTGGTCCAGGTGTAGCTGACCCAGCCTCCAGCTAGCAGGACCCGTGACCAGGCCTGGCCAGTCAACATCTTCATCTCACCCTCCCCCCACTGACCCAGGCTGGCCAAATCAGACGCAGACCCAGAATTTTCAATGGAAGGCTTGCTGGGGTTGCTGGGCCATCTGGTCACCCCAAGGGGACAGCTGGCCTCAGAAGCTCACACACTGGGGCACCTCCTTTCCCATCTGAGGACTTTTGTGAGGAGCCAGCAGGGGCCACGCTTTTAACCCACTGACTGGGGCACAGTGAGTGCTCAATGGACGTTAGCTTGTGTCGTATCAGATGGTGGGGGAGGGACTTGGCAGACTTTGTGAAGGAAGAAATTTCCAGCTGACTTGGTTGGTTCTTGGGGATCTCCCACTAGAGAGGTGTCCTGAGGAAGGGAAATGACCCTGCCTGGGCCAGCATGGAGCCAAGAGCCCCATGGTGCTGGTGGAAGAGGGTGGTGTTGGTGTTGTAAGGAGGGTGTTTGGACACAAGCCTCCTCCATTAGACCGAGTCCTCCCTCAGGCCAGGGTGTCCCAGAGGGAAGGAAGGACAGGGCTCCCCCATCAGTGGTTCACTCTATCAACATGTGGTTAGGCCTGCCTCATTAGACTGGGGTCCCCCCAAAGGAGCAGTCCCCCTAAGGGTGCCTCCCCCATCAGGCCAGGATTCCCAGTGCAAGGGGTTTGGGCCCACTTCCTCAAACTACGGAGGAGGGAGATAAAATTCCCTCATCAGACTGGGGAGACCCAGAGGGAAGGAGCTAAGCCTCCCCCAAGAGACTGAGGAGTCTCATAGAGAAGAGGGGCCTGAGCCTCCCCCCTCATACCAGCCACTCGTTCAAGGCCTCCCCTCAGACTAGGGACCCCTATAGAGAGGAAACTGGGTTACCCCCAAGAAACTGAAGAGTCCCAGGGAGAGGGGCCCCCAGAGCTTCCCCTATCAGATGAGAGAGTCCCCCCACCCCACCCTCACCAACTTGCAAAGTCCCAAGGGGAAGAAGGCCGGGCCACCCCCATCAGACCATGGGTTGCTAGGGGGCCTGCCCCCACATACGCATGTCAAACAGATCCTTCTTGGGACTGTCCTCTGGCTGCAGGGCCTCTGGGGCATCCAGACCCTGTGTGTTGACATACAGGTGGTCCTCGTAGTCTCTGGGGCCCCTGGCGTCGGCCTGCACGTAGCCGTCCCCTGGTGGGCCTGGGGAGCGCAGGAGGAGTGGAGGGGTCAGCTGGGGGAGCCTAGGAGAGGGGAGCAGGAGGAACCCCACCAGGAGCCCCACCCACACCTGCCGCCCTCCAGGAAGCGGTAGGCCGTCTGGAGTGACAGGCCCCGTAAATGTTCATCCAGGGGCTGTGGGGCACTAGAAGGCCACCACCCGGGGAGGGGCCACTGCCACCAGGCAGGACGGTGGCAGAAAGCCCCACACTTATGTTAAATGCCTACATCCAAAAAAGAATCACGATGAAACTGGTCTCCCTGTAATTATGTTATCCTATCCACATGACACATGGGTCACTTGATTCTGTTCCTGTTCTATTTTAGGATTTCCTTTCTTTCCTTCTTAATTGCATGTGCAGCATCGCCATGGTTCAAAACTCACACAGACAGCAGAAGTTACCCTCAGAGGAATTTTTCACTTGGGTCCACTCGGATTCTGCTGGATCCTGACCAGTCCTCTGGCCTCGCCCAAGGTGTCCTACCAGGTGCCAGGGGTTTGCTGGGCTGAGAGGCGAGAAATGGCATCTAGGGGATATTAATTTCCATTTCTCGTATTTTGAGCAAGGCTGAGCTTCTCTTCCCAGATTCAGAAGGCATTCGTGTGTATTTTTCTCAGAACTGTCTATTCATTTCTAAACATCACTGTTTTTAATCCTTGGCAGAGAAATAATGATTTCAATACACTGCGTGGCCATATCCAGCCCGAGGACCCTACAGTTTATTACATCCATGTTTTTTTGTTTGTTTTTTTGTTTTTTTTTAAAGATTTTATTTATTTATTTGACAGAGAGAGACACAGCGAGAGAGGGAACACAAGCAGGGGGAGTGGGAGAGGGAGAAGCAGGCTCTCCGCGGAGCAGGGAGCCCGATGCGGGGCTCGATCCCAGGACCCCGGGATCACGACCTGAGCCGAAGGCAGACGCTTAACGACTGAGCCACCCAGGCGCCCCTATTACATCCATATTATGCCAGCTACATCTTTACCCTTGTGGACATGTGAACTCATATACCAGTTCCACCTGCCCTCTGTGGACACGAGCAAGTCTGCTAACCTCTCTGTGCCCCAGTCTCTTCCTCGGCAAAGTGGGGAGATAGGAGTAGCTCCTTTACAAGCAGGGCTGAGGATTAAAACCTTAGAACAGTATATGGCAAAAGTTACAATTCAGGGATGCCTGGGTGGCTCAGTCGTTAAGCGTCTGCCTTCGGCTCAGGTCATGATCCCAGGGTCTTGGGATCGAGCCCCGCATCGGACTCCCTGCTCCGCAGGAAGCCTGCTTCTCCCTCTCCCACTCTCCCTGCTTGTGTTCCCTTTCTTGCTGTCTCTGTCAAATAAATAAAATCTTAAAAAAAAAAAAATGCTCAAAATCATGAATCTTTTAGGAAATGCAATTAAAACTACACTGAGGGGTGCCTGGGTGGCTCAGTCGTTAGGTGCCTGCCTTCAGCTCAGGTCACGATCCCAGCGTCCTGGGATTGAGCCCCGCATCGGGCTCCCTGCTCCGCGGAGAGCCTGCTTCTCCCTCTCCCACTCCCCCTGCTTGTGTTCCCTCTCTCGCTGTGTCTCTCTCTGTCAAATAAATAAATAAAACCTTTTTTAAAAAATTAGTTTTGGGGCACCTGGCGGCTCTGTCGGTGAGCAGACGTCTGCCTTCAGCTCAGGTCATGATCCCGGGGTCCTGGGATCGAGCCCCGCATCGGGCTCCCTGCTCAGTGTTCCCTCTCTCAAATAAATAAATAAATAAAATCTTTATAAAAAGAATATTATGATTCAATATGAGTGCTGACAATGTGCCAGCCCTGGGTGGCTGCTGCAGGCAGAGGGGTCTGAGCCCAGGCTTCCTGGTCTGCCTGGACAGAGGCACCAATTCTCCCAGCCTCTCATAGCCAGGGCCAGGTAAGAGGGAAGAAGCCCAGGTTGTAGGAATCCAGACTGAGAGAGAATTCCTGGACATCGGAGCTGGGGCATGAACATACTGGTAGGAGTTCTTGGCTAGAGAACAGGGAAAGGCATAACAAGAAGCACCAGCAGCTGGTACAGAGGATCAGGGCTGGGAGATACTGGGGAGCCCTGGAAGTCCGGGGTGACAGGGGGCAGTCAGCCCAGGTACCAGGGCCAGATCTTAGCTGGGCACCTGCTGGGTGCCCAACGACAAAAGTGGTCTTTAAGCACCATGCTGGGAGTCACGAAAATGCCCAGATTATTTGGGAAGATCTAAAAAAAAAAAACCCCAAACCCAGCACAGATGTTAGGGAGGCCGTGGGGGAACAGGCAGCTGCAGTGGGGCTGGTGGGCGGACAGCCTTGAAGCCTCTGGTAGCTCGACTAACAGGCTCTGCTCCTGGCCGTCCCCCAGCTCGGCCTCCGCAGGGCAGACACAGGGCTGAAAGACCCTCCGTGCCTGGCAAGAGGGGCTGCAGGAATGAGCAAACTGCGGGGCCTGGGGGAGAGCTTGAAGCCCTTCAGAAGGACCTCACGGTGAGCAAGGACCAGCATGCCTCGGGGGCCATCATCTTTTCGCTTCTCCCCACGTCTGAAAGGAGACACAAATGTGCCAGGGTGGGTGAGCTCCCGGACAGGGAGCGGGGCGCAGGTCACTTCTAATTACGTGTAACGGGATAAGATGCTCACGGGCTAAAAACGCAATCATTTTGTTAAAACAAAAACCCATGGTACCTTGATGGGAGGGCAACTGCGTGATTTCATCAAAATAGAACAAGCAGTCACTCCCCTGGGGACAGACTCTACTGAGACCCCTGAACCCGCCTCATGCTGATATCACAGCAAACACCTGGAGGTCTACCCACACGCCTGTGAGTCAAGTAGAGGCAAAATAGAAAAGACCCTCCACAGGGTGGAGGAGTCCACTGTGGGGACAAGGGTGAGGGCATCTGCGTGGATGGACGTGGAAAGAACTCCAGGACAGATGGCTACGTGGAGAAAGCGAGGTGGACCTATTCACAGCACGCCACCATCTGTAGGACTGCGGAAAATGATACACGCACTTGAATGGGCTTGAATATACGTGGAGAATTCTGGGAACATAATGGAAACTAGTAACTACTAACAGTTGGTGGCCTGACTGGGGAGGTGGGCAGGGGGCCCAGCAACTTCTCACTGAATGCTTTTTTATGCTCTGGCATTTGAACCATGTAAATGCAGTATCTCTCCCCAAAATGCAATGAAACTAGTCTGTGCAGAATAAAAAGAAACTGATGTTGTCAAACCTCCTAAGAGGATGGGGAGTGAGCATGGTCTCAGAGGTGAAAGTGAAAAGAGAGAGACAGTGTGGGGAGGGGCTGGGGCACCTACCAGTACCTGAGGGGCCCAGGTCCCACGGCAGGCTGTGCGTGTCCCTTTGAGCAGGAGATACCCCCTGAAAAAGAGAGTGACGGGTCCTCCGGCCATGTGCAAGTCCCCCTTCCCAGCCCAGCACCCAGGCTCCCCCAGCGCCCCACCCTCCTGCATGGTTGGAGACCTAAGTCAGAGGCAAAGGGAAGCTCTAAACCCTCTAAACCCTTCCCCCAGCCCCTGGCTCTGAAACTGCCCTCCCCATCCCTCCACCCACCTCTGCTGCAGCCTCAGCTGCCCTCTCGGTTCCAGAAGGGGTCTGCACCTTCCTGCCACCTGCCACATGCTGTTCCCTCCACCTGGATGCCCCTCCCTGTGCCGCTCTCCCAGGCAACTCCTATTCACCCGTCAGGGCCTGGCCCAAACACTGCTTTTTCATGAAAGTCCTCCTGACCACAGAGTGAGTCTCCCCATCATATATTCCCATTACTGCCCCTGGACTCCCATTTCATGGCCCTGATGAAACTGCTGATACAGGATCTACTTAGTGTCTGAGTCTGGAGGAGGGCCAGACCTTCTGTGCATCTGGGGAAGGAGGGAGGAAGGGGGAAAGGAAGCACAGGGCCCTCCACTGGGATCAAGGAGAAGCCGAAGGAAACTCTAGGGTAAGGCCCAAGGAGTCAGTGCCTGAGGACAACCCTGCCCCCCCGCCCCCACCCACGAGGTCCACAGAGGCTGACCTGGCCGAGGGCTCCGAGGGCCCCGAGGGCACAGGGCTGAGTTAGGGTGAGCCTGGAGTCCACCAGCCCACCCAGGGGCGGCTCCTTCCCTGGGACGCTGTTGTAGTAATCGTGTTCCGTTTCCTCCTCGTCCCCCCAGGCCGACTCCTCTGGCCTGGTCAGCCTGGGGACAGACAGCAAGCGGGAGCACAGGCAGGAGCCCCAGGACTCGGGGGCAGAGAGAATGGGGGACACCCAAGAGGGTGCCAAGGCCTTGTGGCTTGAGCTTCGCCCAGTGGGTGGGATGAGCCAGGCCTCGGGGACTCTGACCCTGCCTCCTCTCAGGCTGAGGGTAGGGGGAGCTGGGTGCTCTTTCCTCCTCTACAAAACAGGATCTCGCGCACTTCCCAGCACTTCTGCTAAACTACAGCAGGTCCTGGCTCCCTTCCGCCCATCGGAGGGGGCGGGGGGGGGCGGGGGGAGACCCCGAGAGAGAACACTACCCCCAGCTTGCACCCAGAGCCTCGGGGCCAGGGTGGAAGTACCCTCCGCGTTGCAACGTCCTTGCCCTCTGGCCCTGCAATGGCACCTGTGGGTCCTGAGAGCAAAACAGGGGAAGCTGCCGGCACCAGAGGGCCCCCCCCACAGCCCCTGCGAGGCAGAGGCGGCTGCAGATGCCCCGCCATGGGAGGCAAACACGGGTGTGCATGTGTGACGGAGCGTGAACCTGTGGGGAAGGAGGCCCAGACACGCAGGTGAGGGGCGGTGCGGTGAAGACTCATGCGGCTCTGTCTGCCCCTGCATACTCTGCCTCTTCCTTATCATGCACACATTTGAATTTCTAACACATTCATTTACTCATTATTTAGTCTAGCAAATTTCTACCTCGTGTATTAAGTAGCTGAGAGCAGGGCTCCGCAAATCTGGCCGGCTGCCCGTATGCGTGCAGCCCAGGAGCTAAGAATGGTTTCTTCTCTTTTAAGCCACAGAACTTTTAAATGATTCAGAGAGCATCCAAAGAACAATATTTGGTGACACGTGAAAGTCACATGAAATTCAAAACTTAGTGTCTATAAATACAGATTTCCTGGCCCGGGGCCCACTGATCCTTTTAAGCATCCCCCCACGGCTGCTTTTGCCACAACGGCTGAGACAGGTGGTCTGGCCGCAAAGCCGAAAACACCGACCGGCCCTTTGCAGAAGTGTGGGCCACCCCCGCCCAGCCTGGGGATGACAGCAGCTGTGGACTGGCTCCCCGATTCCTCGCCTTGGCCAGGGCAGAGCAGGATGTGTTCATCCCGGGCTTACAGACGAGGGAATGGGGACCTGGCGGCTGAGCCGCAAGCCCACAGGGTGCACAGAGGAAAGACGGGACAAAGCGGAGACCTGCACCCAGCACGGAGGAGGTGAGCGTGGGGACTGTGCATCTGGCCTCGGTCAGGTGACACGCTATCTCCGGGAAGACGGGGACGAGGTGGGCCTGGTACCTTTCTGGGGGCACGACCACCCGGGGCGGGCTGTGCAGGTACTGTTTGAAGCGCAGCTCAAAGGCTTGGCCCACGGTGCTGATGATGCTCTGGGCGAGGCCCTCACAGCACTCCAGGATGTGGCAGGCTGCAGAGGGTTGTTCGTCACACAGCATGAGCATGGCCTGGGCTGGCTGGCCCACCAGCCACAGGGCCCCCGCCCACCCCGCCGGGACCTCACCTCTCTGGTTGATGGGATCCTTGGCTACATAGGCCACATAATCCATCATGTCCTGGGGAGGGAGAGGACGGGGCGTGGGCAAGAGGTCAGCTGGACCCGCCCGGGCCAGCCTGGCCGGGATGCCAGCCTCCATCGGTAGCAGTGTGGGGGCAGGGGCTTCCGCAGGGGACAGAGGGGACCAGGAGTCCACCCGCCAGCCGCTGGCCTTACCGTGTCGCCGCCTGATGCGAAGGAGATGGACTGCATGTGGTGGTTGGCAATGATCTGGCCAGAGAGAGACACACATGGTCGCGGGAGCGGTCACGGGGGACGCCTCCCACACACGGCTGGGGCTGGTCACGAGGCCAGGGCCACGGGGAGGGGACCAGGAACGCAGCTGGGTGGGGCGCCCCCAGGGCAGGATGCAGAGGCCACCCCACCCTCACACGAGCACATGAACGCCCCCAGATTTCAGATGTACAGACACACGCAGCTGCTCACACACGGACCAGAGCCACACACTCTGACACGCTCAGACCTCTTCGCACCCTGACCCACACCCCCTCACACAGACACCCAGGTGCAGCGCGCTCATCTGCACACCGGTGCAGCCCTGCAGGCAGGGAGAGACACAGGCGGGACCCCCCGAGGCTCCAGGCCCCGCACCGGCACCGTGCGCTCACTCGCACGCTCACTCGCACGCTCACCCACACGCTCACTTGTGCACGCGTCCCCGTATTTGCAGGCTGTCTTGTGTGCACATTCGCACACTCGTTTCCATGTTCATCTGTGTGCTCGTTGGCCACCACCCACTGCTGTCCGGAGTGCTCACGTTCCTCCCCTCCTCCCCAGGCTCTCCACAGATGCGCTGGCTTGGGCTCCCTCCCTCCTTGTGCCCCCACAGCCACAGGTCACGGCACTTCCCGGGGTCACAATGCTCTCTGGACAAATCCTAGAGCTGTGACTTGTCGGCTCTGTCCCCCCACAGGGGGACCTCTGCCTGGGCTGTCCTCTGCTTACCTCCTCCCTAGTGTCACCACCTCCAGGAAGCCCTCCGAGACGCCCCTGCTAGGTCACAGTGCCTGCTGTACGCCTACAACATCCCTTGCCTGGCCCCACGGTCCTTTTTGGAATTTGTAATTATTCCCTTACTTAGCTGGTTTGTTTCCACCAGAAGATTCCAAGCCAGGGCCCTCCCCCGGGCACTGCTGACACTGGGTCTGGGTCACTCTCTGCAGGGGCGTCGTGGGCATGGTGGGGGCTTGGCCGCATCCCTGGCCCCAGCGCCTCATGCGGACTGTGGCTGCCACGAGGGCAGCTCAGCTCCTGGCTTGGTGGCGGGGGGGGGTCTCAGCACATCTCCAGGTAAATGTGTCCACACACAGCCCTGCACCCACCATCCCTCCAGCTCCACCCACAAGTGCCCGGACCTGCCCTGCGCAGGGCTGGGGATGCAGGCGGTGGCACTCACCTGGCGTGTGGCAGGCACAGAGAGGTTGAGGCCATCGGTGGAGATGCTCACAGCGATACTCATGCCCGCAAAGCGCAGGTTGCTCTTGCCCAGGATGGAGGCCAGCGCTTTGTTGGGGGCCTGGGGACGGGGCAGAGGGCAGTGCCGGGCCTGCAGGCTGGGGAGCCTGGGCACGGGGGAAGGTGGGGCTGCAGAAGGGCTCTGGCTGGGGCAGGGTCCAAGGACGGCCACGGTGCCCCCACTGCTCCAGCCACACCCACCAGCACCACTCAGGGGCCACAAGCCCCTCACCCACCTTCTTCTTCCAGGAGCCCCGGACACCAGGCACCGCCTCATGAAGCCGGTTGATGGCTTCCCTGTGTGGGGGGAGGGAGGAGGGGCTTAGTGAGCTTGGAGGTGGGAAGGGGGGTGTGGGGAGGAGGCAAGAGCTCAGAGAGTGTGGGGCTCACAGGAGGGACAGAAGCTAGGGCGCCTGGAAAGAGGCGGAAGGAACAGAGCCATGGACCAGGGGCTACCAGCCCCCACCCCATTTGTACCTGCAGACATCCCCACACACACCGCGCTTGGCTCTCGCCCTCTGGCACCTCCTTCTCAGTGACCAACGCATCCCTGGGCCACAGCCCAACTCAAAACCATAGGGGTTGGATCCAGGGGGACCAGCATAGCTCCTGAGCCCAGACCCCAAGTTCCATGTGGCCACAGGCCAGTCAAGATCCCCATCTGTGGCATGAGAGAGTGATCTTTGCTCTGGGCTCCCCCAGACAGTAAGGAACAGACCATTGTGAAACTGCTAATCCCCCGGGGGGGGGGACCAGAACTTCACAGGACCCTAAAGGTCAGACCACACCAGACCCCCAAAAATGCTGGTGCCACGAGAAGAAACTAGACCCTCACATCCAACCAGCAGGAAGGTAAAACGGTGCTGCCACCTGGAAACGGTCCAGTAGCCCTTCAAACAGTAAGACATGGGGTCACCGCACAGCCCAGCATCCCCTTCCCACATCCGGGTAACATGCACAGGAGAAATGAAAACACACACCCACACAAGACCTGTTCATAGCAGCACACATCATGATAATCACCAACAGGTGGAAGCCACCCAAGGGTCCACTGACCGGTGAACAGATACACACACGGTCCCCCACGCGTGGGAGCGACCCTCGGCCGCGGACAGGAGCCAGGCGCCCACACGCGCGGCCCCGGGGACGGACCCCGAGCCCACGACGCTCAGGGAGGGCGCCAGACACGGAAGGCCACACGGGGTGTGAGTCCACGTGGGGAACACGTCCAGAACAGGCTCATCCACAGACAGGAAGGGGGCTCGTGGGGGCCGGGGGCTGGGGAGAATAGGGGGTGACAGATGGGGACAGGGTTTCCTTTTGGGCTGATGGAACATTCTGGAATTAGGGAGGGAGTGGTTGCACAGCTCTGTGAGGAAACCAAAACACATCGAATTGTGCACTTTAAGTGGGTGAATTGTTTGATGTGTGAATTACATCTCAGTAGAGTGTTTCTGTGTCTACGGTGAAAGGACTAATTCAGTTTTCACATGCAAAAAGATGTCAATCCTTTCTGTCTCAGCCCTGGTTGTAGCCATGACTCTTCATGACTCTGCTCCTGGCAGCTCAGAGCATCATGAGATCAATGTGCTTTCTCTGCACCAAAAAAAGCACGGACAACAGAAATGCTATCCCCGCCCTGGACAGGCTCCCAGCCCCTTCCAGCCCTGACCTGAGTCCTAACCGGGAACCAGCCAGCACCCGCAGGTCCCACGACCTGCTGGGGCATCTCCCAGCACCCCTGTGGGACCCACACACTGGGAGGGACCAGGTGTCATCTCTACCTGACAGAGAGAATCCAGGGTCTGAGGAGCAAGGGCACCTGGAGGGCGGGACAGAGCTGGGACTCAGACACCATGTGCCCCACCCCAAGGCCCTCCTAAGTCCACGCCACACTGTTCCCCAAGCTGTGCGGCAGGAGGGAATGTCACTGTGCCTGCCATCCTGGGTTCCTGGGGCAAACTGTCTGAGCCGCCTCTCCGAAACCTCCCATCAGCCCTCCCCCAGCTGCTCCGAACCCCCAGCCCCACAGCAGCCGGTCTCAAAGGCTCACCTGGTCACCTGGGTGCGGGTGTTAAAATCCAGAGAGCGCATGGAGCGGAGGACTTCAATGCAGCCCATGTACTAAGGGAAGAGAGAACGAGCGGTTAGCAGGCAGGCCCCAAGCCCCAGCCCAGGAGAGCCTGGGTCGGGGGACAGGTGAACCCAAGCCCTTCCTCCAGCAAGTGCTTCACTCGCATCTCTTGCCCCCACTGGGCTGGAGCCCTGTCCCCTGTGCTCGACCATGTCCAGCCTTGCTGCCTCGGGGCCTTTGCACCTGCTGTCTCCTTGCTGCTCCCTTTCCCATCGACGTGCAGACTGGTTCCTTCCTTATCTTCAGGCTCAGCATCACCTCCTCAGAGCCGCCTTCCCTGACACTAAGCAAGTTATTTCCTGGTTGATCCCTCCAGGCTCAGTCATGCTGTTGGTCTAACCATCTGCTGCTGTTTGTTCTCGCTTTCTGTTCCACTAGAGCAGGAGCCCAGGAGGACCAGGATGGTGACCAGGATGGGGATGCTGTTGCTCACTACTGCAGCCCCAAAGCCCAGCACAGGGCCTGCAGGCAGATGGGGAGGAAACCATCTGGCCCATGAAACCCAACGCACTGACTACCTGACCCTTTCCAGGAAACGTGTGCTAACTCCTGCCTGGGCCGCCTTCGCCGCAGAAAGAGGCTTCAGAGCCTCCAAGAGACGATGCTGAGGGACAGCAGAGGCAGAAACAGCCTGCAGAGCTCCCAGCCTCTGCCAAGGGAGGGGGAGCAGGGGCCAGCCCCGGGCCAGGAGCCTCGCTCCAGCTGGTGTCTGGGTGCTGGGGGGTGTCTGCACCGAAAGCACGCAGCGGCCCCACTCCTATGCACATGCGCAGTATGCGTGTGCAACGTCCAGAACGGGCAAGTCCACAGAGACCGAAAGGTGGTTGGCGGGTGCCAGCAACTGGGGGAGGAGCGGGGAGGGCGGCTAACGGGACGGGTTTTTCTGGGACGAGGGAATGTTCTGGAACTAGAGAGTGGTGACGGTTGCACGACCTTGTGAATGTACTAAATACCATTAAATTGTGTGTAGACTTCAAAATGGGTGATGGTTGGGGCGCCTGGCCAGCTCAGCCAGTGGAACATGCCACTCTTGATCTCGGGGTTGTGAGCTCAAGCCCCGTGCTGGGCCTAGACCTTACTTACAAAATAGAATAAAATAAAATAAGATAAGATAAAATAAAATAGATAAAATATAAAATACAATAGAATACAATAGAATAGAATAGAAAATAAATAAAATGGTTAACGGTTAACTATTGTAAATGTTACCTCAATTTTTAAAAAACCTAGACGAACACACACTTTGACCTTGAAACTGCATTTTTAGGACTTTACCCCACAGACACATCAGCCCCGGGGCTGCCGGTGTGTGCAAAGTCACCATGTGGGGTGGCCCATGTCCCGCCCTCTCCACAGGGCTCTGAGCCTGCAGCACTAGAAGGGGAACAGGTGGGCAGGTGTTTGCTGCCCCCAAGCAGCCCCAGTGCGTCAGTGCCCACCCACTCCCTTTTCCCCCAAGCTCCCCCTCGTGCTAGCCCCAGGGGCTGGTCCCCTATACCTGGCCCTCCTCTCTGAGTCCTGCCCCTCAGGTACACCTTTTGCACACACCCTCCCTTCCTGTGGGGACCCGTAGCACTGAACAAATTAGCAAGAAATTAGAGACACCCTGAAACACAACACATCCAGTTTTGTGAGATTCAATATATGACCCCAGTTCAACTGGAATTGCCATTAAACAATGACTATTTTCTTTTATTTTTTAAGATTTTATTTATTTATTTGACAGAGAGAGACACAGCGAGAGAGGAAACACAAGCAGGGGGAGTGGGAGAGGGAGAAGCAGGCTTCCCGCTGAGCAGGGAGCCCGACGCGGGGCTCGATCCCAGGACCCCGGGATCATGACCTGAGCTGAAGGCAGACACTCAAAGACTGAGCCACCCAGGCGCCCCATGAATATTTTCTTAGTATAAGTATGTCCCAAATAGTGCATGGGGCATACTTATACCAAAAATTATTGGTGTTCATTGGAACTTTTCATTTAACTGGGTGCCCTGTCTTCTTGCTAAATATAAGCAAATCATGGTTCTTGGAATGGAAGAGTATGCATTAGTAAAAAAGACAAGAATTTTTTAATGTATTTATATGAGATTATCTCCAAGGTCTATCATTAAGTAGCAAAAACAAGGTGTAGAACAGAGGTCTTGGTGAGTCACCATTCATGTGGACAAGGGGTCAAGAAGGAACACGTGCACACATGCATGTAAATACAGTGTGTGTGTGTGTGTGTTTGCACGAGCATAGATGAATAATTCTAGCAGGTTACAGTGGGTGCTTCTGGGAGAGAAACCGTATGCTGTTGACAGACTGTAAACATGTCCGCAAGTCATTCCTCCCCCCATCCAAGCCCTTGGATTGGCCACGGGACTTTGGGCCAATGGGATGTCAGCCAAGGTGACACAGTCAAGGTTTAAAGGGCACTTGTGCCTGGAGCTTGTCCCCCCACTGGTCTCAGGTCCCTGCAATCCTGCCAGGCCAGCCTGCTCCATTAGGACAGACATGTGGCCCATCCCCATCATCCCAGCTGACACTGGCCAATCGCCATGTGAATGAAGAGACCATTCAGCCCCAGCTGACCCACAGAACCACAAGAAATAATAAATGTTTGTTGTCCTGCACTAGATTGTGGGATGATTTGTTACGTGGTGACTGCTAACTGAGATAGTGACCAGATGAAGAGTAGGAGCAAGCCAAGCAAAGACCCAGGCAAAGGGAATGACAAGTACAAGACCCAGAAGTGAGAGCAAGCATGGAGAAGCCACAGACTCACTCCAGTGTAGCTAGAGCAGAGAATCAAGGAGCAAAGAAAGATGACAGGACATAAGCAAGGAGGTTGCAATGCCCTAGGGCTGTGATGAGGGGCTGGGTTAAGCTGGGGAGCCATGGAAGACTTTTAAGTAGGGGAGTGAACAGATCTGTCTCACCTTCTCTTGGATGGATGATGGATGGATAGATGGATGGTTGGATGGTTGGATGGATGGGTGATGGATGGGTGGGTGGACAGATGGGTGATGGATAGATGATGGATGGTTGGATGGATGGGTAATGGATGGATGATGGATGGATAGATGGATGGATAGATAGATGATGGATAGATGGGTAGATGGATGGATAGATGGAGGGATGATGGATGGATGGATGAAGGATGGGTGGATATATGATGGATGAATAGAGAGATGACAGATGGACAGAAGGATGGGCCATGGATGGACGGACAGATGGATGGGCAAATGGATGATGGATGATGAATGGACAGATAAACAGGTGACGGATGGACAGAGGGATGGATGGGTGGACGGATGGTGGATGGGTGGACGAATGGATGATGGATGGACAGATGGACAGATGGATGGGCATGGCTTATATGCCAGGCATGTGTTAGACATGTGGGACCTCAAAGGGAATTTGCTGTGGTCCCTGCTCCCAGGAGTGGATTTTCTCACTGAGAGGACAGCTTTGGTGGGACGCTGGCTGCCCAACAGGTATCATCCCTCTGGGTGTGGCATCTGTGCAGTGGGTGTTGGTGTTCTAGGCCCAGGGTGAAGGGTTCTGATTCCCATACCACCCCCAGGCTCACCCCAATTAATGTCCAGCCCTCTCTAACTGCTCCAGTGTGTCCCCAGCCCCTGCTTGGATGAAGGGTGGGGTGCGCGACTTAACTGCACTGGAGAGATGGGGGCTCACACAAGAGGGGATGCAATGGGGCCACCCCGGAGGGCTGGGAACAGGGACTGAAAACTCAGATGCTGATGGGGCCAGGCAGGGGAGGCTAGCAGATGGTCAGAGTGGGCTCCTGCACCCACAGACAATAGTACCTACTGACCACATAAGCACGCAGGACAAATTACCTCTCTTGATGCTCTGTGCCCACGCCAAAGTGACAACTGTGACCCTCAGGAAACGCAGGTCCAAGGAGGCTCAATAAAAGTTACGAGCCTGTAGGTGGCAGAGGCAGGATTTGAACCCACACCCTCAGGCTCTGGAGTCCCACCAGTGCACGGCCAGAGGTGGGGGGGGGTACGTACACTGCATATTCCATAGCCAGAGGGGCCCAATGCTGCCAGACACCGGATTTTTTTAAAAAGACACCAGAAATCCAGGGCTTTTGTGTGAAACCTCCTAATTTGTAAACATTGACCAGAAATTGAATTTTTACTTTTAAATAGACAGCAGGGGGAGAAGCTCAGAGGTCAGATTCAGCCCTGGGTCTGCCAGGGAACATGACCTCTGCCCGGGAAGCACAACCCACCGGACACCAGTTGTGGTGGGTTGGATGCTGGCCTCGCTTGAAGGGTTTGTCCACCTGCTCACCCCCAGAGCCTGCGGATGGGCCCTAAATCCAAGACGGGGGTCCCGGTAAGATGCAGGCGGAGCTCAGAGTGACCCATCTGCAAGCCGAGGGCCCCCGGGCACCTCCAGGACCTGGGGGAGCCTGGACAGGATCCTCCCTTGGAGCCTCAGCAGGAGCCCGCCACGCAACACCTGCGTCTCAGACCTGCAGCCTCAGGGGAAGAAGACTCCGCCGTTGATTTAAGCTGCCCAGTGTGCAGTGACTTGTTACAGCACCCAGGACACTGATACAGAAGGTCAGGAGGAGACCCCAAATGGCTCTGTATCCCACCTTCCCCTTTTCACACGTGGAGGTAGAGGCAGCCCAGAGCCCAACCTAGAATGCTACAGGGAAGGAGCTGATCTACACGTGGGGAAACTGAGGCCCGGAGAGGTGAAGGGACGGAGCTGAGCTCCGGCAGCAGGCCAGGCTAGATATCTGATGAGCACCCTGCTCTCCAAACTCCCAGCAGGCGAGACCCTCCAACACCTGTTGACTTCCTTACGTGTATGGCCCAGACTATTACTTGCTTAACATTCTATTTTAAGTAGACTCCATTTATAAACATAACTGGGTTGGGGCACCTGGGTGGCTCAGTCGTTAAGCCTCTGCCTTCAGCTCAGGTCATGATCCCAGGGTCCTGGGATCGAGCCCCGCATGGGG